AAGAAAAATATATTAATAAAAAAGAAAATTAATATATATAACAAAAAAATGAATGGACGGAGAAAAATGGTGGACCAATTAGTCAAATAGAAGAAAATAACAAAGAGAGAATTAATTATATAAAAATATTTATAGGTGGAAAATGAAAATTAGGGTAGAGTTGACAGAATTGGTCATATTAAAGGATAAAAAAAAAATTTAACTATGCAATTAATCAATTATTTTTTTTTTCAAAATATCTTTTTATATTATTTTTATTTTTATTTTTATTTTTTTGTATTATTAAAAAAATTATTCTTTACAAAGTTATATGTATATTGATATATTTGTAATTTACTTTTAAAAGAAAAGTATATGAATATAAAAGAAAAATAATAAAAAAAATTGGTGTTTGAGGGACAATTCGATTAATGGTAGCAACATCTAAATCGGACAAAAATTTCAATCAGCAAAAAGGATATTTGACTATTTCAATTACAACTTTGGACAAAGATGGAGTATGAATTACACAAATAGATAAATAAAAACAAAGAAATTTGATAGTATGAGGGGCATATCGATAAAATCTGCATAGAGAGATATTTAAGAAATATCACTTTATATATGTATGACTTGCTAATGCTCTCGTTGGGTGTGAACTCAAGTCAATTGGAATAGTAAGCTTTCTATAGTTTTTAAGAGAAAATGGCAATGAAAATGATATTTTGTATATTCTCGACATCAAAACCAACTTCCAAGAAGATACACAGTTGCTCCAAGGAAGAAGACAAGTACATCTCCTTATAGGGTCTCAGCTGGACCACCATCAGTCTACATTTTTGTATGTATTTCAAAAATCGAATTTTCGCCGTATTATTTTTTGGCGTATTATTGTGTATTAAGTGAGCTTGGTATATATCTTAATTCCTATGAATGATATAGTATGAAAGAGCATATACCATTGCCATTTATTTTGTTATTTCATTATTTCAAATGATATATATTGATGATATCGTACAGACAATTTGATACACACCGGATTATGGGTATGCTATGGTATGATGTATAATATCCGCCGTACCAATTTGTTTGTATGCCAAAATTATTGAAAACTATCGATACAGTATCGATATGATAAAATAATATACCAAAAATTCAATACAATATGTATGTTGTACAAAACTATCTTTATTTAACAAGTGAAAATAATATGTGCTTTTTAAACTATTGCACTTCAATAATATATGTTAAACTTAAATTTCATCATCAAATTCATGGCGGCGGTTCGAGTCAAGGGAACACTATGCTAATTTGACGAAGTAACACATTGACCTTAAGCAATCAACCAACAATTCCTCAAAAGAGAGACATCATATGTTGTGTTATATAAAAGTTTGTATTGTGCAGTTTATATATTATATTGTATACATATATTTATTGTGTTATTATTTATATGTTGTATGTTTTATGTATTTGTGTTGATTGAATCCAATCAACACGAAAACCATAGGGCAAATTCATCTACCTACACACTTAGTTAAATTAAATAAGTCGGTAATATTACGCAATTATTATTCAAATTGGTTCGATGAAATAATAAACAAGAAGCTCAAAATAACTTATCAATAGAATATATTGAAATTAAATGTTGTACTATTGTTTCCCCGATAACTTAACGTATCTTTGTTAATTAACAGAGCATGTTCAAACTTCGCTCAATTAACTACTTTATATGAACTTGATATATTTATATATATGGTAGCAGTTAGTTTGTTGGTGTTTATTTGATCTTGTCAGCACAAATCAACAAGATTGTATGCACACATATAGCGCAACATAATATTATGTCGTATAGAAATATGTTTTGTGTAGTTTATATATATATATATATGCTTATAACGATAAAATCAATGTATTAATTAGGTCAAATCAGTATCATCCCATCAACATGAAAACCGGACCGGTATATACATGTCAAATATCGATTTCTATATACATAAAAATCTAAAAAATTTCTATTTTGAAATAAGATAAGAACTCTTATACACATATGTATATGGTTGCTACTATGATTTTGATCTGCTATATTCACCACCGTACTAACAACATATTAAATGTATACAAGTGGTGCATACAATATTATATAACAATACATGATTTTAATTAATATAATACAAACACGGCATATGTCAATGAATTGACAATAAGTGACAGTAGTTTACATAATATAAACTATCATTTTCAATACATGAGGTATGTTCATAAATCACACTTTAAAATATGAACTGTTCGCTCATAATTTCAAAGCATACAATACATACTATGTATTTTGAAACCATGTATTGTTTTTTTAGCTGCATATGCATATGCATACCTTATCATGAGTAATCCATTTCCCTCTTTGGTGATAAACTCCGAAATGATAAGCCTTGTGTGGCATACTTAGAAGAAAATCCTCGGTTTAAAAGATCTATATCCTCATGGTCCCATTCAAGGCCATTGTCGAAGTTTTGAGCATAGCTCAAAGGGCTGTATCCGAAGGCATTATTCACCGATCTCCTCTTCAACATCCGACCATTTTTAGGGTTTTGCCACCTCCAAAATACGTTCGAGATGCGCCCCCAACATGAAAACTTCTCTGCAAGTTCACCATCACTATGAAGCGTCTCCATTGTATCATAGACGTTGGTTAGTTTGGTCTTAATATGTACTTATATATATATATGTATGTTTGTGTGTGTATTGTATGTTTATGAGGATATTTATAAGTATATTCATTTTGTTCGTGTTCTTTTTATTTTATATTTTTGCCTTTTTTGTGGTAGAGAAGAAATGGAGATATTTCATATGGGATATTAATTGGATGAGGATAAGCATTTATATTTATTGTGTTAACAATTATTTTTTCCCTGTTTTTTTTTTTTTTTTCTAATATGTATGCATTCTTATAAATCGTTTTCATTCCTTTTATTTTCTTGTAGCCATTTAAACTAAATATAATTTCAAGAGATGAGTTTGTTTGTGTGCGTGTTTGTGTTTTGGGTTAAAGGGTTATTTTGAGGAAAAAATTAAAATAAATTGAATAATATTTTGAATAAACACTAAATTGTATATAATATTTTATATAAAAATTGAACATTAGATACTATTGTTTCTAATATAAATGTATGTTTTGTGTGTGGTATTAAGTTTAATTCAAAGATAATTAAAAATTAATTGAAAATATCTTATGTGTTTCAAATTGATTTGAATTTTTTAAAATAATATTTTAATGTAATATTTTATTAGCAAAATATCAAAAATCTTTTATGTATTTCTCGAATTTGCTGAAAAGTAGTTTGAAAATTTCATAAAACTTAATTGTAGTTCTACAAATATTGTGTACTCGTCCATTTATTCTAAATTGCACTAAACGTAACGGTGTTAAACTTTTATACATGCTGACTGTTATGCCCATCTAAATTAGATTTCTTTTGTTTAATTTATCGCACTTTCTCTCTTCTACTCCCTCTCCTTCACCGGAGCGGATCATCGGTCCAAAAATTATTCAATTTACTGTGTTTAACCAGTAGTAGAAGTTGACGTGAGTATGCAATGTTTATAATTTTTGATCCCATTTAATATTATAATTATCAATTTTGGTCTCATTAAAAAAAAAATTATCAATTTTGGTCCACTCAAATGAAAATTTATCAATTTTAGTTCCAAGGTGGTTGACTGGGACTGAATATGGCCGTGTTGGATGATTCAGAAGATGACTGGGCATCCCAGACAGCCAACACGGCTGTGTTGATTACCCTGCACTTCTGAACACGGGTGTGTTCTGCCCATGTTCTCAACACAGTCATGTTCTAGGCCATGTTCTCAACACAGCCATGTTCACGACAATGTTTTTATATAATCATATTGTAGGTCATATTTATTATTATTTTTACTTTTTGGTTAAAATTATTTGATATATATTTATAATTCAACAAAAATATTTTTTACAATTATTTCATAATATAAAAAATAATCAATTTTTAATATTTTAAAAATATACAAAAATAATAATATATTAATATATATATTTTTAATAATTATTATTCTATATATTTTTAAAAATTTATAGTAAAAATTTTAAAATATTATTTTAATTTATAAATTAAATTTATTATTCAAAATAATATTTTAAAACAATACTCCTTCCGTCATACGGTGGATGTCTGGGTCACTGTAGATACGAAAATTTAGGATAAATATAATTAGGTTATAATTAAGAATGTATTAGTGAAAATATTTTCATATAATATAAATTATGAATTAAGATTAAGATAACTCATTAGTTTAATTAAAATTAAAAAAAATTAAATTAAAAAAATAATGTGTAATTATTTTCCAAAAAAAGAAAGTGACATGAGATGTGAGACGGACAGAAACGGCAATGTAGATATGGTAAGTGAGACGGACGGAGTATTATTAAAAATATATATATTAATATATTATTTTTATATATTTTTAAAATATTAAAAATTGATTATTTTTTAAATTATAAAATAATTGTAAAAAATATTTTGGTTGAATTATAAATATATATATATATCAAATAACTTAACCAAAAAGTGAAAATAATAATAAATATGATCTACAATATTATTATATTGAAAATATGGTCGTGAACATCATCTATAATATGGCTGTGTTGAACATGGTTGTGTTGAGAACATGGGCAGGAACAAGACTGTGTTCAGAACACGGGCATGTTCAGAAGTGCAGGGTAATCAACACGGCCGTGTTGGGATGCCCAGTCACTTTCTGAGTCATCCAACACGGCCGTGTTCAGTCCCAATCAACTATCTTGACTAAAATTGATAAATTTTCATTTAAGTTAATTAAAAAAGTGATAATTTTTTTTTTAATATAATCAAAATTGATAATTATAATATTAAATGAGACAAAAAGAATTTTGTGTTCTTTTTTATTTTAAATCAAAAGTTATAGTTTTGCAAATAAGCCCTCGTCTCCCCTTATTTCCTTCCCTTCCCCGGCGTGAACTCCCACCAAATACTCCCCCAAAATTGACTGTCCGTCCTAGCCGCCGAACCAACCCACCACCGACGCAGCCGCTCCCATTCCCGCTGCTGACCGACCGCTCCCTTCAGTTAACACTCAAGCATACCTAAATGATCCCTCAAATTCGACCGACCGCAAGCCCAGCCACTCCCGTCGCCAACTGACCGCCCCCGCCGAAGCGCTAACACGCAATAGGTTCGATTTCTAATCAAAATTTTCTAGTTTTTTTTTTTCCTAAACAAAACCTAATTTATTTTCAACTTCCAAAACAGTACTCATATTTCTTTCAAATTGATGTCGGGAGCCATTCAGAATTTGGGGCTTATTCGTATTTTTGAATATACTCCCAACGACATACCAGCGAAGAATGAGAAATAATCTTTCGAATTATATTATATAATTTTAGAATGAAAATTGAAATGATCAAAATGCACCTGATTTATTACAGGTTCCTGATTGTACCAAAATGTGAGGCTGAGTCTTCGCCATTGGAGCAGAGTACAAATGAGGTGGAACCGGAGAAAATTGGGAATGTTTTGAAGCCAAAACAAACAATTGATGTTGATGGAGAGGTAAAGAACATTCTACTGATTTTTTTGTTTGTTGAATATTTTAAAATTAAAATAAAAATTAAATTCAAAAATAATTTTTCTCAAAATAATCACACTCAAAGTTTTACCCTGCAGCTAAACCTGCGGCCGCAGTCCCAAACCCTTCGTTTTTTCTTCCTCACTCTTTTCTTCCCTTTGTTTTTTCCCTTCCCGCCCCTCACTCTTTTCCTTCTTCCTATTTCTGCGACACTCACGCATCACCATCAGCGACCGCTGTCACTTCTAGCCCCAATCACCAAGGCCGCCATTGCTAGCGCTGTTCAGGTTTGAGATTTTTTTTTCTTTTGAAGTTAAAAACTGTCTGAAACTGGAACCGATTTCGGTTTCGGTGTGCCGGTTCGAAAACCGGCGGGTGAACAAATCTCTTTCTAAGAATCGTCCATGGCCTATTGCATTCGAATATTGTGTTTTGATGATTTTAAAAAGTTGTATTGTTTCATTCTGTTGAAGTGTATTTATTGAGAGAATTATATTGTGAATTGGAATCGAATGAATGCTTCCCGACCGGAGAACGCTATTATCTTCTTAAGGATGCTGTAGAAATTGCTTGCCCTTATTTTTCCGTTTGCCCTTACTCTTAATAAATAACAAAAATTTACAATTCAGATCGGAATGAGTCGCCAATCAGCAAATCCCTCCGCGGGCAAGCGGAGAAGGCCTGAAAGTGAACCGCAAGGTCGGGTAGATGCCGAGCGTGTAATCCTGAATTTGATCAAAGATAAGAAGGATTTGGGCATTTGGTTAAGAGACATCAAGCAAGAGTCAAAACTGCCCGATCCTACTGTTAACAAATCGCTCAAGTCATTGATTTCCAAGAACTTGATTAAGGAGGTTGTCAACTTTCAAAATAAAGGAAGGAAACACTATATGGCTTTCGAGTTCGAACCTTCTAAGGAAATAACCGGAGGCGACTGGTACGTCAATGGAGTCCTTGACCAAGAACTTATTACTGTGCTTAAAAGGGTGTGCTTACAGTATTTGGAGAGGAAGGTAATTGCCGATCTGGAGGATGTTCACGATGTGCTGAAGAGGAAAGGCATAGTGAATTTTACGATTACTAGCCAGCAAGTCGATGAGATACTGAATGCAATGGTTTTGGACAATGATATCATAGAGGTCAAGAGCACAGGGGTGGGAGATTATCGTTTGATTCCCATTGGTAAAACATGTTACAGAACTGCAAGCGGTGCTGGGGTTGTGAAACATCTGAAAACGGGTGCATTTGGTTCGATCCCCTGCGGAGCCTGTCCCCGAATTAGTGTGTGCACGCCTGATGGGGTTATCTCCCCAGCTACTTGTGTCTATTATACCAAATGGCTCAACGTTGATTTTTGAAGCTAGATAGATATCTTTTGTGCACTTGCTCTTTGCTATCTTGGATTTGGATTGGAAAGATTTGGTTTGAGTTTTTTAGTTAAATAATGTTTGATGCTATGTTTTTTAAGAGGAAAATATGCTTCTTTTTTTTTTAAAAAAAAAAACGCAGGGTTCAAATTATAAAATTTTGAAAATTATCCAAGTCGAATATTTTTGTGCATTGTGTGCTAGTGAAACTTGTACAGGAAACACGGCCAAATCATTGAGCAGTCTGTTGTATAGTCGCTTCTCTGCACATTTGAAATGAATTCAAGCTACAACGTACGCATTACAAGGTATATTGCTTTTACTTGAATATATATATATATATATATATGTACATATGTTCGATTTCAGTTGACATGAGAGCAGAATTCTTTGTAGATCGCAATTAATTTGCTGCAGCTATGAATACTCAACTTGGCTTGTATTGTCATATCTGCTTCACCTTCACATGATGTGTGATTTAGAAAAATTGCTATGAAATTTATGCTGAATAAAGCGTTTTTCAAGAGCACAGGAAATGTTTGTTCATAAATTAGCTGCATGCGTATTTAGATATAATGAATTGATTGAATAAGATATTCTTGAAATGATTCAAGTATACACATCTCACTCATCATTTGCATATATGAAAATCAATTCAAGTGTGCCCTCTCCAACTCCCTCAAGTTTTCTTGAGTCTGCTCATTTCTGTAAAACCGATTTTACTGACTTTGTGATATCATCTTTCTTGAATAACAAAGTACCTTTCGGAATCAATCTGTTTTGATGATTATTTTTTATTTGCCCGTGCTAGAAAAGCACCACAGCAGAACTCGAGTGGTGAATGCATATTTTTCCCTATTCATTCTTGTTGGCAACATAGATGGATATGCTACTTTATTATTTATTTTTTTGGTTTTTATTGTTTTGATAACGACTTGGATATGCTACTTGATCCTATAGTAACTGTGGTTCGAGATTTTTCCCTTCACACTCATTCAGGCCTGTTTAGTTATCTGTGCTAATTTGAAGTTGGAATTCATTCTTAATACTGTTTTCATTATAGCTACTACTTTTTTTTAGTTTGTCAGTAGCCGACAAACTACCCCTCACTTACTATGTCATTGCATTCCGGTGAATAGACTTGTCGAAATTCTTATGTGGGAACTATTTGGAACTCTTAAATATCTCCTAGGTTTTATTTGGGTGATTCTTCTCATTGTTATTGCTTTGTTCGAGTGGTTTCATTTTCTTCTTTTTGACACTGATTGGATGGGCCGGGAAGCATATGACGCCCGGTAAGCCAAATGTCTGGAAAAATTATGCTGATGGAGTTGGAAGGGGCTCACTAGGTTTGATGTTGAATGTTTGGGATCACATTGGAATTATTGAAAGGCTGTTTCTAACATTCTTATGTCTCCTTGTTTCGATGGAATGCTCATTATATTGAAATGTTTGTCTCCTTTTTTTCTTTTTTTATTTCTTTTGATAAGCGAGAATTTGCCGCTGCTATCCTGCTCTGGGTAAATTTTCGGCCGAACTTAATAGTTTGTAAACTACGCCCGACAAGGCAAGTCACATTAGGCGAACCATGTGTGGTACGCAAAACCTGAAGACGTCGGGGTTCGAATTCATGACTTTACGGTCATGAGTCCATCTCTACACCAACATGTCATCTCTTACGGTAATTAGGTTAAGTCGTGTTTTGTAATTAGTTTATAGGTGCGCGGATCTCATGTTGTACTATAAATAAATATGTTAGTGATATGTACCATAGATGATGCTTACCTTATGACATACCAAATGTGATCTATGTCCTTAGTTTATTCAACAACTTCTATTTTATTGAATACTTTTTAGTTACAATAATTTTAAATATTTGATAAATTAGTCTTTTAAAAGAGTTTATTGGATTTTAAAAATTAATTTTTAAAATATTATTTCATTGATTATTATATCAATACGATGCAAAAGATAAATATTGTTTTTTTTACTGGAGGGAGTATTATTTATTACTTATGATAATAATGTTTTATTTTAGTAGATTATAAATTTAAAATAATTCAAATAATTATTATTTATATGTAAAATATTTAATTTTGTTAAAATAAATGCAAAATAGAAAATATTAATATTATTAATTTACATCTATATTTATCACAAAAAGTTTTAAAGTATTAATATTATTAATTTACATATTTATTTATCACAAAAAGTTTTATTAAAAATAAATATATTAGAATAACATCTATATTTATCACACAATTTTTTTACTAAAAATAAATAAATTGTAATAATTTTACTTAAAATTATAAGTTTATTGAAAAATAAATAAATAAAAAATTAATCTAATAAATATAAATAAATATACGAAGAATTTTTTTTTATATATTTTATATTATTTCTAAAAAAGATGTCATATTTTTTTAATAAAAATATCTTAATTTTCTTACAAAATATTTAAAATATAACAGAAGTAAATATTTTAATTATATTTTTATACTTTTCAATAAATAAAAATTCTACGCATACCGGAGGAACACAATTAAATATTTTAAAAATAATATATAAAATAATAGTTCCTCCAATTAAATATTTTAAAAATAATATATAAAATAATTTTTAATTATCATTTGAAGTATAAATCACTAAAAAAAATATTTACTTTACTAAATATTTTGACACATTGAATCAAACTAATCTAATCAGTTAATTACCAAACACCCTAAATTAATGATCGGTGGTGGGTACCTTAGTAGACTTTTAGCCTATCTATAAATGTAAGGTTGGTGGTAAGATCGCTCTTCATACGGAGAGAATTGGGTGCTCATTCTGCTCATAGTGTAAATGTGTCTTCTATCGATGCATATCAAACATAATATATACGTTTTCCGGTCCATTTCAAATGGATCTTTTGAAATTTTCTAATAAAATAAAAAATAATATTATTTTATTAGTTAGTAGAAGTGTGTAAAATATTTTTGATATTTTTATCATTTGATTTTATATAGTATAAAGTAATTGTATGTGTAATGATATGTTTGCAATTTAAGTAAAAATTAATGGTATTTTAGTATTTGTGTATGATTACTTTTTCTAAAATAAAAAATTAATACTTTAAAGTGGGACAAACAAAAATAATAAAAGATAATTTGAATTAAGACGGATGAAATATTAAAAAAATCGGTAAGGTATTAGTATACAACGGTATACAAAATTCTATATGGTTATCATATAAAAAATCTATGGTATTGTAATATACTATACCAAATATCTCGGTACTAAAAATACGATATTTTTAATATTTTTTCTGATACGATTTAACTAATATATCATATTTTCGACATATTTGGCCGACCTAGTTTCAATTACTCTTGAAAGGAAGGCCTGATTTGGGTTGACCTTGGGTCCACGGCCAGGGTCTAAAGATTTTGAGGTATCCGTAGTATGTCCATCTTCGTATAAAATAAATAATATGTAATATCACGTTCGGTCGTAGTTTACTCAGTGCGCACTTTTGGTAGCGGATGTGAATTTTCACATTATCCAAAAAAAATTAAATTATAAATAAATAAATAAAAAATAATATGTAAAATAATATTATTAACATTATAAATAAAAAAAATTGTGAATTTTGTTTTATATGTAGGTTCAATTATTATAAATAGAAAAATTGTAAATTTTCATCTAATTCAAATTAAATTTTATTGATATCTAATTCCACGACTCTTTCTCAACATAGTCATATTCCTGCTTATGTTCACAACCCTATTGTTAATATGATAATATTCTAAACTATGTTCACCACTCTATTTTTAATATGATCATATTCTAGGTCATATTCTTTATTTTTAATATCATTTAAAATATTATAATATTTTAAATAGAAAAATTTGAAAATAACATCAAAATTCTATATAATTAATGAATGATTATTATTTTTTTAGTTAAAATAAAATTATTTAAAATAATTTTTATAATTTTTATTATTAATTTTTAAATTTAAATTACTTTTAAAATTTTTACTAAATATTACTACATCCGTCCGGCTATAAGGGTCCAATTTACTTTTATGCGTGTTGATCTTTGAATATTAATTATTATATAAAAACGTAGTACAAATTAAGAGAAAAAAGTAAAAATACTTCTATTAGTGTCTTATAATACTATTATAATCACATTTGTGCAAAAAATTATACAAATATAAGAATATTTTTAATGTTAAATACAATAACGCAAAAGGTAAATGAGATTTTTAGAGTCGAACGGAGGGAGTAGTATATAACTATGATTATTAAAAATGTATATATATATATTAATTTATTATTTTTATATTTTTCTTACAATTATTTTTTTAATATTAAAATATAATATTTTTATGTTTTTAAAAAATTATAAAAAATATTTTTATTAAAGTATAAATATATGTATCAAATAATTTGAATAAAAAAAAATGAAAAAATGATAACAAATATGATCATGTTCAAAACAAGGTTGTGAACATGGTTTAGAACATAGTCATGTTGAAAACAAGATCGTGAATATGAGCAGGAACATAACTATGTTGAGAATAAGGTTGTGAACATGGACAGGAACATACTGGGTTGACAATACGAGCATGAACACGGGCAAAAATACAACCGTGTTCAGAACATGGCAGTGAACAGGGGCATGAGTATGGGCAGGAACATGATTGTGTTCACAATACGGACATGAACACGGGCAGAAATACAACCGTGTTCAGAACATGGCTGTGAATAGGGGTATGAATATGGGCAGAACATGACTGTGTTGACAATACGTGCATAAACACGGGCAGAAATACAGTCGTGTTTAGAACATGACTGTGAATAGGGGCATGAACATAGGTAGAAATATAACTGTGTTGACAATACGAGCATGAATACAAATATGAATACGGCCGTGTTCAGAACATGGCCGTGAACAAGGGCATGCACATGGTCATGTTCAATGCAGGGTAATGAACACGGGCGTGTTGACTATATGAGTTACGTAGTCACCTTTTTGAATCATCCAATACAACTGTGTTCAGTCCCTTCATGGCCGTGTTCAGTCCCTTTCAGCTACCATCAGAATAAGACCAAAATTGAAAAAAAAAATTCAATGAAACCAAAATTGATAAATATAATATATAATGTGACCAAAAATTATTTTTACTCTTGAGATAAATACATAGTTGTGCTGAATAACATCTATTTCAATCCCAACTCACTAAAATCTCATAATCCATCACTTCGATTTGAACAAAAACCCTAAAATATTTATATCGAATTCCTCATCCTCCTCTGGCGAGGGAGACAATATTCTCACTATCAGGCGGAGCAATGGACCCCGTGTCATCCTTCTCTCTTATTTTCCGTGTTGTTTCCTGATGGCATTGGCAGAGCTTCCGATTTGTCGGATCTAGCCTTCACAGTATCAAACATTCTCTTACTAATTTCCTTGGAATAAATCTTCAGAATCTTGATACCTTCATCCTCGATTCGCTTGGTGCCATACCTCTTGGAGAAAATGAAGAGGGAAGAAAGCGTCTCGATTAGGCGGCTCCGGACGCCGTTGTGGAGGCCATATGCTGAAGGAGATCTTGGAGCATTTCACAGCTGATTCAGCCAAATGCCGCGGCGATTGGGTGATCTCGGCCATGCATCTGCGATTGCAGTTTTGATTCAGAATCAGCTCACTGCTCAAAACTTTTTTAATTGAAATAAAACGACATAAAACAATTCAAAGTCCAAATAAACAAGAAACTAACAGTCACTGTACAGATGAAGAAGTTACAAATTGAAAATAAGAAAAGATTATTTTATTAATTTTAGTTTTAAAAAAATTTGAATTTTCACTCCAACAATTATCATGTTACATACCAGGTCACTTCAATAAAGTAACATCTGCATCGACATCTCCACATTAGATGACCTATAAGATCTGAGTTGATTTATTGTCTTAATTGTAAAAATAAAGTATACCATACTAAATATATATTATAGCTTTTATGGCTACCTGAAAGTACAGTTATACCTTCTATTCTTTTCTCTATCTCATCCTACTGCCATCGCCTCCTCCACAAACAAAACTACAAAACCTACTCTCAGTCTCTCCTAATAACCCTACACCCGCAAATTACTCTCACTTCCGATGCTGCCTCCCACTCCACCTTCACCACCGCGACCGCTTTCCATCTTCCCTTTCTCGCCTTGATGAAGGTACTTATTTATATTTTCAATGTGTTTCATTAGATAATCGATCTATACCGATTTTATTTTGTGTTGGTTTGAAGTTTAGGATTTGTACATCCGATTCCTGTCATCCCTTTCTCATTCCTCCGGTTTGAATCTCTCTTCAAAATTGACTGCAATGTGGCTTAATTTCTTTTTAATTTTCTTGCAGTTAATTCATTGATTTCATTTAAGAGAGTTATTATTGAAGATTTGACATTGGTGCTGTCAGATTAAGATCCTATCGATCCATAGCCTTGTAGATGATCAGACATTGGTTATTTGGTAAATGGAGATTATGTTGTAAAGATGTAAGCCATCCGTTGATTACGTGGCAAAAATCATTATCATCGAGCAACTGTTGATGAATTTGGGAATTTAATATTTGCAGGAACATTTCTAGCGAGTCTTTGAGGGTTTTATGAAGCTAAGTTGTCTCTCAAATTTGCAAGAATAGTGACTGTTTTGGGTCTTGTTGATGCTTTAGTTCGGTCTGTAATGCATTTTATTAGGTGGGGCTGATTATATATGACTACATGCAAGAATTGTGAATGATTTGGGATTTGTCGAAATTTTGGTTTTGAATATAG